ATTCCAACATCTGAATTATAGGGGTACCAGAAGGGGAAGAGGAAGAGCAACAAGTGGAAAAGTTATTTGAACAAATAATAATGGAAAACTTCCCCAATCTGGCAAAGGAAATAGACTTTCAGGAAGTTCAGGAAGCTCAGAGAGTCCCAAAGAAGTTGGACCCAAGGAGGAACACACCAAGGCACATCATAATTACATTAACCAAGGTTAAAATGAAAGAGAGAATGCTTGAAGTAGTAAGAGATAAGGAGACAGTTACCTACAAAGGAGTTCCCATCAGACTGTCAGCTGATTTCTCAAAAGAGACCTTGCAGGCAAGAAGGGGCTGGAAAGAACTATTACAAGTCATGAAAGGCAAGGACCTACATCCAAGATTGCTCTCTCCAGCAAAGCTTTCATTTAGAATGGAAGGGCAGATAAAGTGCTTCTCAGATAAGGTCAAGTTAAAGGAGTTCATCATCACCAAGCCCTTATTATATGAAATGTTAAAGGGACTTATCTAAGAAAAAGAAGATAAAAAACATGTACAGTAAAATGACAGCAAACTCACAATTATTAATAACCACACCTAAAACAAAAACAAAAACAAACTAAGCAAACAACTAGAACAGGAACAGAACCACAGAAATGGAGATCACATGGAGGGTCATCAACAGGGGAGTGGGAGGAGCAGAGAGGGGGAAAAGGTACAGAGAATAAGTAGCATAGATTGTAGGTAGAAAATAGATAGGGGGAGGGCAAGAATAGTACGGGAAATGTAGAAGGTAAAGAACTTATAAGTGTGACACGTGGACATGAACTAAAGGGGGGGAATGTGGGTGGGAGAGGGTGGGGGGGAGTGAAGGGGGAAAATGGACAACTGTAATAGCATAATCAATAAACTGTATTTAAAAAAAATAAAATAAAAAAGATAATCTTAAAAAAATAAAAATAAAAAATAAAGAAATAAAAAAAGAAGATGAAAGAAGAGAGAGAGGAACACAAGTATAAAGGGATAAAATAGTAGTGAATAAGTACCTATCAATGATAATCTTAAATGTAAATGGATTAAATGCTCCAATGAAAAGACACAGGGTAGCTGAATGATAAGAAAATATGACTTGTACATATTTTGCCCACAAGAGATCCATCTCAGAACATAAGATCTACACAGACTGAAAGTGAAGGGTTGGAAAAAAATATTCCAAGCAAATGGACAGGAAAAAAAGCCAGGGTAGCAACAGTTACATCAGACAAAATAGACTTCAAAACAAAGGCCACCAAAAGAGACACAGAAGGACACTTCATAATACTCAAGGGAAGAATCCATCAAGAAGACATAAAAATTGTAAACAGATATGTGCCCAACATAGGAGCACCCAAATATATAAGGAAAATCTTGGAGGACTTCAAGAAAGATATAGACAGTAATGCACTTATACTAGGGGATTTTTTATACCACACTGTCTACAATGGATAGATATTCCAAACAAAGAATCAATAAGGGTATTGTGGCACTAAATAATGCACTAAATCAAATGGAATTAATTGATATGTACAGAACCTTTCATCCCAAAGAAGCAAAATACACATTCTTTTCAAATGCACATGGAACATATTCAAATATAGACCACATGATAGGACACAAAACAAGCATCAACAAATTCAAGAAAACTGAAATCATATCAAGCATTTTCCTCGACCATAAGGGCATGAATCTGGAAACCAACCTCAAGGAAAAAACTCAGTAACATTCAAATTCATGGACACTCAATAGCATGCTATTAAACAATGAATGGGTTAATAATGAGATCATGGAAGAAATAAAAAACTTTCTGGAAACAAATGAAAATGAGCACATAACAGCCCAAACTCTCTGGGACACAGCAAAGGCAGTTCTGACAGGGAAGTTCAGAGCAATACAGGCCTACCTAAAGAAGACAGAAACATTTCAAATAAGGAATCTAACCATCTATCTACAAGAACTGGAGGAACAAAAACAAACAAAGCCCAGAGAAAGTAGAAGGAAGTAAATAATCAAGATCAGAACAGAACTAAATGACATATAGCAGGGATGTCAAACTCATTTTCACTGGGGGCCACATCAGCCTCACGGTTGCCTTTGAAGCATCAAAACAATTTTAGGACTGTATGAATGTAACTACTCCTTAACTGTTAAGGAGTTGAAATTACATTTGGCCCTTTGAAGGCAACTGCGAGGCTGATGTGGCCCCCGGTGAAAATGAGTTTGACACCACTGACATAGAGACTAAAAGAACAATTTAAATCTAGGATCTGGTTCTTTGAAAAGATAAACAAAATTGACAAGCCTTTAATCAGACACACCAAGAAAAAAACAGAGAGGACCCAAATAAATAAAATCAGAAATGAAAGAGAAGAAATTACTATTGATACCACAGAAATACAAAGGACTATAAGAAATTACAACAACTACATGCCAAGAAATTTGAAAAACGGGGTGAAATGGGCATATTTCTAGAAACATATAATCTTCCAAAACTGAATCAAAGAAGAAGCAGAAAGCATGAACACACTGATAACAGCTAGTGAAACTGAAGCTGCAATAAAAAAACTCCCGGCACAGAAAAGCCCTGTATCAGACAGTTTTACAGGAGAATTTTATAAAACATTTATGGAAGAGCTAGCCCCTATTCTTCTCAAGCTATTCTAAAAATTCCAAGAAGGGAGACACCCAAACTGTTTTTCTGTGGTCAGCATCATCTTAATCCCCAGTTCAAATATTAATTGTCTCTATGATCAATTAATATTCGACAAAGGGGGCAGGAATATAAAATGGAGTAAAAATAGCCTCTTCAATAAATGGTGTTGGGAGATCTGGACAACTACATGCAGAAAAAGGAAACTCGACCACCAACTTACACCATACACAAAAATAAACTCAAAATAAGACTTAATGGATAAAAGACTTAAATGTAAGTCACAACACCATAAAAGTCCTAGAGGAGAACATAGGCAGGAAAATCTCAGATACTCCACACAGCAATATTTTTACCAATATGTCCCTTAGAGCAAGGGACATAAAGGAAAGAATAAACAAATGGAGCTACATGAAGCTAAAGAGCTTCTGCATGGCTAAAGAAAACATCAGCAAAATGAAAAAAGAACCAACTGTATAGGAAAACATATTGGCAAATGATACCTCAGGCAAGGTTTTGATGTCCAAAATAAAGAACTAACACGACTGCACTCCAGGAAGACAAACAATCCAACTGAAAAATGGGCAAAGGACCTGAACAGACACTTCTCCAAGGAGGACATACAGAGGGCCCAAGGACACGAAAAAGATGCTCAGCATCACTAGCCATCAAAGAGATGCAAATCCACAAACCACAATGAGATACTAATTCACACCAGTCAGAATGGCTATTATAAACAAATCAGCAAACAAAAAGTACCAGTCAGGCTGTGGAGAAAAGGGAACCCTAGTACACTGTTGGTGGGAATGCAGACTGGTGCAGCCACTGTGGAAAACGGTATGGAATTTCCTCAGAAATCTAAAAATGGAACTGCCTTTTGATCCAGTCATCCCACTGCTGGGATTATACCCTAAGAATCTTGAAACATCAATTCAAAAGAACCTATACACCCCAATGTTTATAGCAGCATTATTTACAATAGCCAAGTGCTGGAAGTCGCCTAACTTCCCATCAGTAAATGAGTGGATCAAAAAACTATGATACATTTACACAATGGAATACTATGCAGCAGAAAGAAAGAAGGCACTCCTACCCTTTGCAACAGCATGGATAGAACTAGAGAGTATAATGCTAAATGAAATAAGCCAGGTGGTGAAAGACAAATACCATATGATCTCACTTTAATGGAACCTAATCAACAAAACAAAGAAGCGAGCAAAATACAACTGGACACATGGAAATAAAGAACAAACTGACAGTGACCTGAGGTGGGGAGGATAAAGGGGGAAAGTAGAGGAAGGGTCGCATCGAGGAACTTATGTAAAGGACCCATGGACAAGGACAACGAGGGGTGGGAGGGCAAGGTTTGAATGTGGGAGAGTCAGGGTGGGCAGGGCAGGGGAGAGTAATGGGGGGAATAGGGACAATTATAAGTGAACAACAATAAAAATAGTAAAAAAATTTTTAAATATGGAAAAGTGAAAAACATCTAATTATTCAAACAACTCTAATACCAGCCCAGCAGCAGAAACTGATTTCAGCAATGTGATTTCAAGGCAGGGCTAAGTTCCAGACTCTTCCCTAAAACAGAGTTCCTAATATTATCCTCTCCATGGCTTTCCACTATTAGGACAAATCTGTGAAAGCCCAATTAGTAATCTGTGTGTTATTGCTCACACAGTTTATAAGATTATAAGACACCCCAGCCCTTAAAAAAAAGAAATCATATTTTTTAAATTTTTGAGATAGTTTGAGAGTTACAGAAGAGTTGCAAGAACAGTGCAGAGAGCTTCCATATACCCTTCTACCAATTTCCCCTTTTCTTAACCATGTTACATAACTAAATAGTATTTATCAAAACTAAAAAATTCACGCTGTTAACCAAAGTATAGAACTTACTTGGATATCACCAGTTTTTCCACTAATGGCTTTTTTTCGGTTGTATTACCTGATTCCGGATCCCAATGCTTTTAGTTGCCATGCCTCCTTAGTCTCTTTGAATATGTGACAGTTCCTCAGTCTTTGTTTAAAAAGCATCACCTCGACACCTTCAAAGTGTGTGTGTCCGTTATTTTGTAAAATGTCCCTCAATTTGGTTTTGTCTAATGCTTTCTCATGATTATATTGAGGTTATGCAGTACTGGGAAGAATGTCACAGAGGTGATGTGCACTTCTTGGTGCAATGTATCGGGAGTACATGATATTAATATTCCTTATTACTGGTGATATTAACCCTGTCATTTGGTTAAATCATTGACACAAGTCATAGTCAAGGCCCCAAAAGATAATAACTTTCCCTTAAAGTAAGAACCCTAACAGAAAGAAAGGCTCATATAGACATACCTGAAGCTTGGTGATGATTTCTTGTTTTGTGACTTCCACCAATTGATTATCCTCTACTGCAAAGGCTGGGAAGGAAATAACTGAAAGGAGACTAGCATCAACCTCTTTGGATGTTGAAGCCCGAGGGAGTATTGAATTAAGAATAGACTAAGAGAAAGAAAATCAAATGTGGCACATTAGTGAATGACTTGCAGTTATAAAACTAACAGATTTAGTTTCAAAAGATTTATGTAGAAGAGGATCATTCAGAAGAAAATCTAAACAGTATTCAATAGTGACAGCTTTAAAAACTAGCTAGTTCTGTAAGTTATCCCTTGTTTTGATTCTACTCTCAATGCTTTCTAATCCTGATTGTTAAGCAGATGCTAATGGATATAGAATACTCTTAACATCATTATCCCATCTACAATCCTGTTATTCCACAAGCACCTATTAAGCATAACGCTAAGGGAAAATGTAGCTGCTGAGAAATAGGAAATGGAAGGCTCAGCTCATATATCCTTTATATTTATCTTTTCCATAAGAACTTTTCTGTTTTTACAATTAGAAGATGATTTCATATTCACTATAACATTATGGTTGTCTAGTCAGGGTTTGGAGAAGAAAACTAATCTTGCCAATGAGAAGAACCTTAATCTTTCAATACACAGAGTAATCCTAAACAAAACTGAAGATATGCATTTACCATTTAAACAATCTGAACTCCAAACATTTAAAACTGGGACAAGTGAATGTTTCAGAGCCACTATCAAGAACACTCAAAATCTCCTGGCTGGTGTAGCTCAGTGGATTGAGCACGGGCTGTGAACCAAAGTGTCACAGGTTCGATTCCCAGCCAGGGTACATGCCTGGGTTGCAGGCCATAACCTCCAGCAACCGCACATTGATGTTTCTCTCTCTCTATCTCCCTCCCTTCCCTCTCTAAAGATAAATAAAATAAAATAAAAATTAAAAATAAAAAATAAAAAAAATTTAAAAAATAAAAAAAATTTTAAAAAATAAAATAAAAATTAAAAATTAAAAAAAGAACACTCAAAATCAATCATCCCTTATTCTCCTGTTATACCTAAAAAAGGAAATACTCAGGAGCAGGGTACATAAACTTGATATGACAACACTGAAGGATCCCATATACTATAATGGGATCCCTTTATAACTTTGGGTGAAAAAACAGGACTTTGATTTATGTTACTGCTAATGTTATATCAAGCTTATCTCAGTATAGAATGTTTGATAAGTCATTTTTAGCACATGGTAATAAATAAGATTATGTATTCTCAATCAGGTTTCTTTAATTTAAAGTCCTTCCTAAATCTGAATCTAGGTTAGAATAAAATTTTCTGTAATGTGGTCCATTATTTCTTACCTGGCAGTGCTGTACTTCATCAGCAAGTACGTGAATAACTGATTGGGGCCCACCTTTCACACCAAACAGATTCAGTTCATCTAATGCTTCCAGGGCTGCCTGTGAGGAGCAAAGAAGGAATGGTTAATGTCAGTATTAAAAAGATATTTATGCATTGTATCTCAGTATCATAGCAATGCACATAATGTCATTTTAAGTATGTTCAGCAGAAGATAAAATACAACTAACATTCTTTTTTAAAAACATTGTGCTTATTCATTTTTCTTAGATAGAGGGGAAGGGAAGGAGAAATACAGGGAGAGAAACATCCATGTGTGGTTGCCCCTCACGTGTCCCCTGCTGGGGACCTGGCCCACAACCCAGGCATGTGCTCTGACTGGGAATCAAAATGGCAACCCTGTGGTTCACAGGCCTGTGCTTAATCCACTGAGCCACACCAGCCACAGCTACAATTAACATTCTTTATTCCAAGAGGCCTTTGAGTTGTTCTTTTCCTCTCATATTATCCCAGAGACAGTTAAGATGGAGGTTGTAGCCATCCTTTCATGATAGAAACCCTCAACAGATTCAATATAGAAATAACATACCTCAACATAATAAAGGCCATATATGACAAACACACAGTTAACATTATACACAACAGTGAAAGACTGAAAGCTTCTCCTCTAAGATCAGAAACAAAAAAATACTCTTACTGAACATAGTATTAGAAGTCCTAGCCAGTGCAATCGGGGAAGACAAACAAATAAAAGGAATCCAGGTTAGAATGAAAGTAAAATTGTCATTATTTACAGATGATACTATCTTATATGTAGAAAACCCTAAAGACTTAGCCAAAAAACTAGTCAACAAATATAGTAAAGTCGAAGGACATAAAATCAGCATACAGAAATAAGTGGTGTTTTTGTACACTAACAACAAAACATCTGAAAAAGAAATTTTTAAAAAATCTATCCCATTCACAATAGCATCAAAATCAATAAAATACTTAAGAATAAATTTAACAAAGGAGGTGAAAGGTCCTAAAATTTATATGAAACCACCAAGGACCTCAAACATCCAAAGCAGCCATGGGGAAGAAGAACAAAGCTGAAAGCCTAACACGTCATAGTTTTTAATTATATTACAAAAATACAATAATTAAAATAGTATGGTATAGGCATTAAAATAGATACATAGTCCTGGCTGGTGTAGCTCAGGGGATTGAGTGCAGGCCTGCGAAACAAAGGATTGCTGGTTCAATAACCAGTCAGGACACATGCTTGGGTTTCAGGCCAGGTCCCCAGTAGGGGGCGCATGAGAGCAACCACACATTGATGTTTCTCTTCCCTTCTCCTTCCCTTCTCCTCTCTCTAAAAATAAATAAATAAAATCTTTTGAAAAATAGACACATAGACCAATGGAACAAAATAGAGAACCCAGAAATGGACCCTTGCTCTTATGGTCAATTAATATTTGACAAGGGAGTGAAGAAAACTCAGTGAGCAAAGGCTAGTATCTTTAACTAATCAATAAATCATGTTGGGAAAATTGGATAACCACATGCCAAACAATGAAATTTGATATCTATCTTATACTACTAATAAAAATTAACTTAAAAAAGATTAAACATAAGATCTGATACTATAAAATTCCTAGAAGATAACACAGGGAAGAAACTCCTTTATGTTAGTTTTGGCAATGATTTTTATAGATGACACCAAAAGCATAAGCAACTAAAGCAAAACTCAACAATCGGGACTACAGCAAACAGTGTATGGAAAGGGTCATCACAGCAAGCACAACAATCTGGTGAGGCAAACCACACTTTTTTTCTTTTTTAATCTTTTATTTTGTCTTTTCTATTTCATTTTTCTTGTGTTCCTGTTTTTCTTTCATATCTCTCATTCTCTCTTTCCTATTCTTAGTCTATGTTTTCTCTTTTCTATTCTTTTTTTCAGTTTTCCTTATTTTTATTTTATTTCATCTATGTTTTTTTCTATATGTATTCATTATTTTTGTTATTGTTTCTTTCTTTTATCTTCCTTTTTTCCTTTCATATACTTTCCAACTTCTTTTTCCTTCTCTAATTCTTTTTATTATTTGTCTTTTATTATTCTTTCCTCTTTTTATTTAATTTTTTATAGTTTTTGCTAGAGTATTAGTGACTTTTCATTTCTGATTCTTTTCGTTGTTATTTTTGTTGGTGGTGTTGGTTTGTTTATTTGTTGAGTTGTTTTCTGTTTTCTTTTGCTTTGGATTGTTTTGTTTGGTCAGTACATGTACAACCATTTGCATGATGTGGTTGGAGCTGAGCCTCAACCAGCCTGACAATGAAGCACACCCATGAATGGGACAACAGCAATCAAGAAACAATTACAGCCCTGGCTGGTGTGGCTCAGTGAATTCAGCACTGGCCTGTGAACTACAGGGTTGCCAGTTTGATTCCCAGTCAGGGCACATGCCTCAGTTGCAGGTTTGGTCCCCAGTTAGGGCATGTGTGAAAGGCAACCGACTGATATTTTTCTCTCACATCTATGTTTTTCTCTTTCTCTCTCTTCTTCCTTTCCCCTCCCTAAAAAATCAACAAGCATGTTCTAAGGTAAGGACAAAAAGTCAGATTACACAGGAATATAGTAAGATTTTTTAAAATAAACTCAATTATCTGTACCAGTTTGATAATAAAAATACATTAAAAGAAAAAAGGGATAAATATTTCTAGGTACAAAGTTCCATTTATACTTACTAATTCAACCACATTAATTATATAGTTGAAATTTCCTGTGATGTTATTTTTGGTTTATTTCATCTGTCATTCCTGGAAGTGGTTTTTATCAAATTATCACCTTATAACTGCTTCTATTTTGACTGGTATTTCTAATATATTTTGTTTTGTATTCATTGAAACTATATTCCAGATCAGGCTTTCTCATTTCAGGCTGTGCCTTTCACAACTCTATCTTGACCTTATTTGTCCTCTTTATTCCATATAATACTATTTCGCTTTGAATTCTACTCCATTTGATGTTTACATACATAGTCACCATGTTTTCTTTTTTGTTTATGTTGGCAAGACTTTGCCCATTTTTCTATTTTTAATATTTCTCTATCAAATTGTTATGTTAGAGCTCTTATAGGTAGTATAGGCTGAACTTCCTTTTTTTCTCTTTTAAAATCAACCTGTGTTTTTGCCTTTTGTTAGGAGAAACAAATTAAGTCATGCATATCGATCATTATAATAGATATGTTTTGATCCTATTCTTGCTATCCTATTTTATGCCTTCTTGCCTATTCCAAATATAAGAGCTGTAACTGAGGCAGTAGCAGTGGGAAAGAAAAGATAAAGCCAAGTGGAAAGGTAATGATGATGATAATGATATGGGGGGGTGCAGGAGAGTGTGAGTGGTAGAGGATTGAGAAATGGTTTCCTGATATCAAGTTTTGTCAAATGGTGTACAGAAGGATGAAAGACCTTCTTTTGTTTTTTGTGTAATGGTAGAGATGATGAGTTTGGTTTAAGATATGTTCTCTGAGTTCCTTGTGAGATATGTAAGTAGAGATATGCTACAAAGCCAGTTTGGATATATAAATCTGGAGCTTATGGAAGAAGTCTTCACGTACATGTTCATAGTTCTATGGGAGAATCTGAATTTTGCCTGTGATTTAAAAGAACAATTCATTTGATGATGGTCCATATTCATGTTAAGCCTTTATCTATGGCAAAGATGTAGCAGACTTCCTTCCCCTGTACCTGGTATAAACAAAGCAAGAAAAATTACCTTTGCCATTCCAACTGAACTGGCATTCAATTCCGAGATCCCTTGGTTGGTCTTGTCTCCACGTTCCCATATACCAAAGTCCTGGCATAAAATAAGCAACATTCCATTAGAAAATCATCACTGCTAAATGCTTACTAGATGCACAACTGTTAAATAAAAGGCACAAATAGTAGCTAATTTGCCATACTTATGCTTATTAAGGATATGCCAATGAGTTGGGCTGCTCCCACAGATATTTTCCCAGGAACTTTAAATTCTAGGATGGCATCCAAGAAGTTGTAGGACTCCCAGACAGTTTAATTGTAGTCAAAGTGTAATTAGGCCTTCTAAATTTCCCTGGCCAGTTTCAAATTCAAACATGTTGTTTCCTTCTCAGACCCTTTCACTCATATGTTGCCTGCCTGCTTCCTTTCTTTAATACATTTCCTCCCCAGCATTTTGTTTCAGAGCTAGAATGACTTCTTCATAAGAAATCATTTACATAATGCTTCATCAAAAATTTTGCTTGTAATCCCTGGCCCAGTACCAGTAACTTACTGTCTTCCCTTCCTTCCCCCACACCTTCCAGCCAAATAAAATTCCAAATTAGCAAGTAGATACTACTCTCTTTCTGTCCTCCCCAACTTTATCAGCAGACTTCTAATGGTCTGCACAGAGAATACCAGCATCAAATACTAAACTTTGACATTGTGGAGTAGAGCTACCTTGTGTTTTTATCAGAGGTCAAGCTTTCCAGGGTCAATCAACTAGATTAGAGTGAACTATAGCAGGGAAATATACCCAGCTCCCTACACATTAAAGTTCTTTAATCACCTTCCTGGCCAGAAAACATTCAGGAAATCAGCTCAAAGTAACTCAAAAAGCAGGTAGTAATGAAGTGGAAAAAAAGATTAAACTTTAAAAAATAAGATTCATAAAAACTTGTTTTCAACCTGGCATATGAGTCTTAGATTAATAAGAAAATCACATGAATTGGTTCCAGTAGAAAAGTATGTTATCAATCAAAATAGGATAAAAAACAAATATCTCTCTGTCACTAATCCCTACAGTTTAATGTAGTTCATGCTTTTTAGATTTTTTAATAGTGTGAATCGGAAAACTTTTGACTCAAAGGGTCAGACTAATGATCATGGTGGGAAAAATATGCTCTTGGCTAGAATCTCTCATATCATCATTATCAACAAAAGTAGCTAATTCCTACATAGAGCTCACTATGTAGTTAGATAATTCTAAGTAATCCATCTAGAGAGGTACTTATCAAAATTTTCCATCAAAGCAGATACCCAAGGAGCCTAGGAAATGGAGCCTAAGCCACACCTTGGTATTTTACCTTAAATATCCATTCTAATTTTACTCCATATTAGCATTGACAATGCACCATGCACTAACCTGTGAACGTTACACTACTATCTTCCTTAATCATTATATTTTATAGATGATAAAACTGAGGTGCAAAGAGAGGTTAAGTGACTCACCCAAGGACACACAGCTAATAAGTGACAGACCTGGGATTAGAGGCCAAGTCCTCTCACTCCAAAGCATACATTCTTAACCATAGTTCTATATGGCCCCTTGATAATATAAAGATAACAGTTAAAATTACTTTCAATAAGCTTTTTATTTTGAATAACTGTACACTTTCAGATAAGTTACAAAGATAGTAATAGTTCCCATACACCTTTCATTCAGCTTTCCTTAATGTTAACACCTGACATATCATAGTACAACTGTCGAAACTAAGAAATTAACATCAGAACAATACTAGTAACCAAATTATGGACTTGATTAGGATTTTACCACTTTTTCCACTACTTTTTAATGTTCCAGGATCTAAGCCAGAATACCATCCTACATTTGTTGTGCTTCCTGAGCCTCTTCCAATCATTTATAGTTCCTCCAGTCTTGCCTTCCATGACATTGACACTTTTTAAAGATTTGTGGATTAGTGGTCAAATATTTTATAGATTTCCATCAATTTGGGTTTGCCTCATGTCTTCTCTTGCTTAGACTGAGGTTACACATTTTTGGCAAGGATACTACAGATATTATGCTCTGCCCTTCTCAGTGCATCATATCAGGGGGCACACAATGTTATGTTTTATCACTGGAGATGTTAACCTTCATCACTTGGTTAAGGTGGTGTCTTCAGGATTATTCCATTCTACTGTTACCATTTTCCAACTTATAATTAAGTATCTTGAGACACTTTATGACTATAAATATCCTGTTTCTCTTCCAACACCCATCCACTAATGTAGCATTGTAAACCCTGAGAAAGAAGACACCTACTAAGAAGAGCTTCTGATAGCTAACTGGGTTCAAATTAAAAAACAAAAAACAAAAAACAGAGCCTAGCAGCCATTTCTACGCAGGGGCCCCTCACTCAAACTTCTCTTCAGGGAGAAGCCTGCACTGAACTGCCTGCTTGCACTGTTTTCCTGCCATCTGAGCCAGCCCTTATAAAGAAGTTCCTAGAATCCTATTTCAACCAATAGGACTGCGGCTTTCCCCATCCAATTGGAGCTGCACAGCTCTGATGAACCAGAGTGACTCTATTCTGACCAATCAGGACAATGCCTTTTGGACCAGTCAAACTGTGAGGATTTGGAGTCCTCATGTGCATGAGGGCAGACCAATTGGGGGCCAGAGACATGGACTTACATCCACATAAGCCAGCTCCCCTCTGGCTCTGGGAGGTACTTTCTCTTTCCACCAGAGCTGAAGGCTGCATTTTTCTGGTGAGCTGAAACACTGAAGATGTCTGGCAGGAGACCAATGCAAGCCAGAGCAGACTGGCACAGAAAGGAGTTGACCAAAGCATGGTGGGACAGACCAGTGCAGTGCAACGCAGAGGCAAGGAACAGAGCAGAGTCATCTGGCCAGAGAAGGGGCTGTCCCAGTGCTGCCTCACAGTTGTCCTGTTTTCACAACTGTGCTTTTTCATAGACATGCTGTACCACAATTGAGCTGTTCTGCACTGAATAAAGTTTCCTTCACTGCATCCCAAATTTGGGATTCCTGTTGGTGTTGAATTGGTGCCAGTGGCCATCAGTTGACAGTATCCATTAGTGTGATTATTGCCTGCAAGAATTATTAGTGGTATTTCCATGGTGATTTTCTAGTTCCTTCATTACCTCTGTACTCATTAATGGCCATTCTTCACTAAGGAAGAACTGTCCTTTCTCTCCCATTTACTTATTCAGTTGTTTATATCAGTACGAACTTATGGATATTTAGGTTATTCTCTGGGTTGTAATAAAATGTTATTATTTATTTTCTTGCTCAAATTGTTTCAGTTTTTGCCTTAGGGAGTTTTCCCAGGTTTGACCTGCCCCATTCTTTTTTGAACACTTCCTCACTTTTGTCACCACATGATACTCCAGTCTCATCTTGTATTTTCCCCATATCAGTCCAGGAATCAATCACCTCTCTAGGGAATTCTGCTTTCTTTTATTACAGAATGATAATTATAATCCTAGACTTGAGCAATGGTGCTCATTGTCACTGTGGTGTCATTGTTTCTAGGTCCTCTCACTGAATAGAACTTGAAAATATCCACATGCACACATGCAGGTGCATGCAAACACATGTACATACACATATACCTCAGACATATTATATTTATTTCTGTATGTACCTTACATCACTTTTCACACCAAATCTCTAAGCTAAAGGTGTAGGAAGGTCAGCCATATTTATCCCATGGCTAGCCTCACCTGCCCCAAACTCAGTTCTTCCCTAGTTTGTGCAGCAAAGATTAGAGTACCAGAAGGCACAAATATCATTAATTCTACTGCTGCAACCCTTAGCTGCAGTGAAGAGGTCAGAGGACCCTGAATTGCACCCTGGACCACAGCAGGCCTATGGTATCAGAAGGCAAAGAGATCAGTCAACAAATAATGTCTGCTTGCATAAAATATGTATATGTTAGACTTAACCTTCTGGCAAATATGGAGTGACAGGTTCCAGATTTACCTTCCTACCTAAAACAACTAAAAAAATTAAATAATTAAGTTAAAAAAACTGGACTATTTATGATATAGCCATTTTCAATACAATGAATATGCAATGCATAACAGTGATCCCTGACAGAGAAAATGTTAAATATTTTATGATTTAATATAAATTTACCTCATATAATAGTTATAAGAAAAAGTAACTAGTTTGTATAGTAGATATTGAATCAATGTTTACAGATAATATTACACACATGACTAAATATTATTTCTAAGTAGCTAACCAACCCATACTACTCCCTAGCCATCTTGCTCCTATTCAAGACCATAAGTCATTAGAATAAAACTACAGTTTAGCCCCAGACTGTCAAATACATACCATCAGATATTGTACAGTTTGCAAGAAAGGAAAGCATAGTATCTTGACTCTCTTGCCTCTGTAACTCCCTTGGGAAGAAGGTAAACAGAGGATGACAGATGTTATCAAAGAAAAAAGCTGAAGGCAATTTTTGCCAACAGTCTTATAGATCAGTTCACTGTAAGGGGCAGCATTAAAAGATAAAATGGATTATCCAGAATTTGAAAAACACCATGTTTAAAATACATTCCCAAATGAGTACTTACAGCAGTTTTATATGCAGCTTCAATGTAAAACACAAGGTTCTGAATGAAATTGACTTCATCTAGGCTGTGGATGATATGAAGTCCTGAGGAAAAAAGAGAATAAAGATATAGAGTTGGTCAATGATCACTATAGGTTTTAAAGGCAGCTACAGTGACTACGTGACCCAACCATTCCCAGGTAATTCTACTTCTGCTTAGGAATAAGTGGAGGTACTTTGATTAAGAACCATAAAAATAAGATCACAAATCAGTTTTAGGCTAATCTTCAACTAAGTGAGATAATAGCATATTTTTAACATGGAAGAATTTTAACTATTATGTGTAGGTTTTAATAGAAAGTCTCAGGCTCCTAATTCTATAGGTAACTAATTCATAATGTGTCTAAATGTCAAACCTAGGCATCTGGAAAAAGGCAAATATTTCATAAAAGAGTTGGAAAGAGTCTAAATACTGAGCAAGAAGTAGATATATATTATGATTCTCAGGAGAACTTAAATCCATTCTTTTTGGAGTAAAAATGAGAATTATTCTAAATATAGGCTATACACAGATAGTTACAGCATACAATGGAGTACTTTGCATGAATCACCCACCTACTTTTTACAACATCCCTAAGAGGGAGGTACTTCTGTTTTCTCAATGAAGCTCAGAGAAATTATTTGGCTAAAGTCATGTAACTAATAAATAGGACTCAATTGACTATCAACTTCTATATCACTTCAGAGACTGAGATCCTAAGCAAGATGCTACACTGCCTCCCAATATGTACAGTATAATCCATTTTTGTTTAAAAAGTAACACTTCTCACCCTGACCAGGTGGCTCAATTGGTTGGAGCATTGTTCTGTACACCAAAAATAGTTGCAGGTTTCATTCCTAGTTGGGGCACATACAGGAAGCAATCAATAGACATTTCTCTCTCACATCGATGTTTCTCTCTCCCTTCCTCTCTCTCTAAAACCAATAAACATATCCTTGTGTGACAATTAAAGAAAAAAATAACATTTCTCTCCTCTCTCCTTCCCCATCTCTTATTTTTATTGAATACCAACAGGTAGACAATGCAAGTCTTCCACCCAGAATCACATCACTCCCACTCTGTCAAATCTCCTCTCTGAAGGAAATAAGTTTTACCAGTTTCCTCTGTATCCTTTCTGAGATACATTATGCAGTATAAAATTTACACAAACAGTAGTACCATACTATGCTGCACCTGGCTTTTTTCATTTATGACTTGGAGACAATTTAAAGTATATCTGCCTCATCGTTTTTAACAGCTACACAGCTTTCCACTGAATGCCTACTCATATAACCAGTTCATTAATGAAAGGCATTTAGGTTGTATCTAATCTTTTATCATCACTGTCAGTACCACCATGAATATCTGTATATTTATATATCTTTGTGCTCATGCACCAGTATATCAAGGTAAATTTTAGAAGTAGAGAGGGGAGGGTTGGGTGGGTGGGCTGGATTGGGAGTAAAAGGGAGAAAACTGTACTTGAACAATGATTAAAATAAAATAAATTTTTAAAAAAGGAAGTAGAATTGCTGAGTGACAGATTTATGCATTTTTTCCCCAAAATTTTATTAGGAAATTTTTCAACAAACAAAAGAAATGAAAGATTTTTACAGTGAACACCTGTGTACATACCATCTGGATTGAACCATTAACATTTTACTATAATATTCCATCACATACCTCTCCATCCATCAATCCATCTCATTTTTTGATATCTGTCAAAGTAAGCTGCAAATATCAGTACACTTCTCCATAACTTTACCATGTGTATTAAATGTTGATAATTATTACTAAGTTATTACACAAAGAAGTTGCATAGTTTACATAACAGCACTGCCTGTTCTCTAAACCACATCAACACAAACTTTAATAAGTTATTGATCTTCACCACTCTAATGGATGAGAAATAGAATATCCTTGTTTAATTTGAAATTCTTTTATTATGAATAAGGTTGTGAGTCTTTTTATATGTTTGTAAGTCATCTGTATTTCTTTTCCTATGAACTGTTTGGTTGTGTCCACCAATTTATATTGAATTGCTGGTCTTTCTGTTATTGATACATTAATGAATATTAAGAAAGTTAGCTTTTTGGCCATCATATGTGTTACAAGTATTTTTCTGGTTTTTTGAACCTTGACTTTGTTTACAGCACATTTTTATTCTCAGAAACTTTTATTTAAAAGTTTTATCCCATGAATGTTTCTGGTACTTTTATAGTTTCAGTTTTTATATTTAAATCTTTGATCTATTAGCAGATATTTTAAATCATATAACTGTAACTTCAGAACTAAAAAGGACCATATGATCCATATTATCAGACTGCAAGGTCCTCTTGAGCCATGGCTTTGTCAAAACAGTAACCACACCACAGGATAGCAGCAGGTCCCTGGTTCCTTTTGAGCTGCTTTCCCAGGGCTAGAGCTTAGAGGAAGTGAATCTGTGTAAGTCTGTGCACAAGTCCTTTAAGAGGAATTGCTTGGTACCCCAGAAGGCCTCCGTATCCCCCAGCCTCAATCCCTGCTGGTTTTTACAGCCAGAAGTTATGGGCGACTTCTCTTCCCAGCACTGGAACCCTGGGCTAGAGGGCATGGTGTAGGGCTGGGAACTGTTGCTCCTCAGGGGGGAGCTCTGCAGCCAAGATATTCCTCCCCATTTTTATCCAACACTGGTAGGTGTGGGACCTGCCTACTCCATGTGTCTGCCCCTCCAACCAGTCTTGATGTGGCTTCTTCTTTAATTCCCTAGTTGTAGGACTTCAATTCAGCCAGATTTCAGGCAGTTCTGAATGATGGCTGTTTTGTAGTTTAGTTGTAATTTTGATGTGGTTGTGGGAAGAGGCAGGTACCGCAATTACCTATGCTGCCATCTTAACTGGAAGTCAAGTATGCTGATTCTATTTTCTGCCAACTCAAATCTGTTAAGATCTTCTAGTAAATTTTTCATTTCAGTTACAATGATTTTCAACTCCAGAATTTCCATTTGGTTCGTTTTGATCTCTTTATCAATATTCTCTATTTAATGAAATACTTTCATCACATACTCTTTATTCTTTAAGCACAGTGTCCTTTAGATTATTGGACATTTTTATAGTAACAGCTTTGAAGTCTTTGTCTCCTAAGTTCAACATATACTTCCTCTCAAAGGCAGTTTCTGTTACCTGTTTTTACCTTGTGTTTGCTCAGAGTTTCCTGTTTCTCACATGCCTCATAAATTTTGAAAACTGGATATTGTAGATAGTATGTTATAGGAACTCTATAGATACCAATACCTTCCTCCATGGAGGTTATTTTTCTTGTTTATTTGTTTAGTGACTTGGATGGACAATTTCTGTGAAATTTATTTTCTCCACAGTATGCAGCCTCTGATGTTGTTCCTTAGAGAGTATATGTAGCCTCAGACCTGCACACTGTCAGCCCAGGAAGAAAGTGACTTTGGTTTTAGCTACTGTCTCTTTCCCTAATCTGTTAAGTGTCTGCCTCTGCCGCTATACCCAGTTGTTTATCTCTCCTGGTTACCAGGTGATTGCTCTATTATTTTTACAATGCCCAGAGGCATATACTGCTCCATGGTCTCACCCAATTAAAATAAGGCCCCATTTCAGGTGGTCTTTGAGGCCAGTCTTTGACACTTCTAACCCTAGGAGGACTTTTTTTGGATCGACCCTTTCTCCTTGGCTCTCTGTTACAACTTCTAGATAGTCTATGAATTAGCTTGTTGCTCTTCTTGAGCTATCAGCCTCCTCTTGATTTCTTAGAGCCAAAATGTCCATTGTTTTTGTGAGTGCCCTTAAGCCTGAACTCTTCCACATTCTGTTCCAAATAGTAAATTTTCTTGGGAAAAGCAGTGATGAAGCCTTCTGTTTTTATAGCCTGCTACTATGCTAGTAGCTAGTAGCATGGGGGGAGAGGCAGGTGGGTCAGTACTCATATATTCTCAGCCTGATCTGCCTAGGGTTAAACTTCTACTCCACGAGTGAGACTGGGGGTTATGAAGAGAGTTTCTGACCTCTTAGTTATTCTTTACTAGACTACAGTTTCTTCAACTCATGGTTGGGGAGAACGAGAAATACTGGCAACCTGCCTCTCTCAGGAAGATCTCATAGCTCTAAAATGGGAGCTAGGGAAGAGGGAGACTTGTACCCTTATCCACAACCACCTTGAATGTTCTTTTGTCATGGTGAGTTAGGGGCAGGAAAGGGAGTAGATGGTGACCCAAACACCACACTTTCTCACTGCTGTCACCAAGATTTAGATTTCCTTGAATAAATGACTCTCTACTAACTCTACATCCTTAAGACAGTTCCCAGTGAATTTAAGTGGTTGGTTTTTAAAAACTTAATTTTCACTACTTATGGTTATTTTGCTGGGGAGAGGGTCTGTGGAACTCTTCATGCCACCATCCTGTGAGTTGCAGTCAGCTTCTGTCTAAGCCTCTCACTTAAACAAGGTTCAGATTTTTAAGAATTTGAAAATGTGAAGAGAATTGCTAAATTTTCCATGAAGATCTTTCATATTCTACCAATAAATTGTCTCTCACATCCATCCATTTCATCCTAAAGATAACTGCCTTACATAAGTTCTCCATCATTTCTTACCTAAAGTATTTCACTAACCTCCCAAGTAGTCCTCCATCTTAATTTTCTTCCTCTCTGATCTATCCTCTATCTACTAGAGTTAATTATCTAAAACTTTCTTTTAAAAAGATGTTATTAATTTATTTTTAGAGAGAGGGGAAGGGAGGGAGAAATGGAGAGAAACATCAATGTGTGGTTGCCTCTCATGCACCCCCTACTGGGGACCTGGCCCGCAACCCAGGCATGTGCCCTGACTGGGGATTCAACCAGAGACTCTTTGGTTCACAGGCCAGTGCTCAATCCACTGAGCCACACCAGTCAGGGCTAAAACTGTCTCTTAACTATACCTTGAGGGGCTCTCTACTGACTACAGAATAAACTCCAACATAATACACAGACCCTTAAACAGCTAGCCACAACTCTGTAGCTTCACCTTTTTGCCATTTTTCCAGATCTGTCTTACACTCTAAACATAGAAATACTTTTCAAACTTCTGTACTTCTTGTCATACTGTTTCCTTCCCTTTTCTGACTGGTGAATATCTACTTATCCCTACTTATTTCTCAAGGGCCTGATTAAAAAATATCCATCTTATTACAAGCACCTGTCAGAGTCAACTCATTGAGTTGAAAATCAAATTTTAAGTCAGTAATCAAGAGATGACATTTGTTGAATAAATGAATATGTCTCTTATAAGCCTCTTTAGTATATTTCTGTTTCTTTTCTAGGCTCAAAATGAAAACTCACAAGGGATACTTAGATACTTTTTGCTTTGAAAAAAAAATTCCAGAGTTGGTATTGAAAGAATATTAGAAATGGAGTTATATCTGTGATTCTATTTTAAAAAACAAAACCTAAAAATATACTTATTCAGAGAGAAACCACCCCTCCAAAGAAGGGAGTATATAGGTAGCCATATTATAACTTTAAGAAAAGGTTACTCTGCCTCTGAAATGTGTGTTCTGGATGGGAATAAAAGGAAGGCTTTATCACCAAAATACATTTATGCAAGAAAAGGAGAAGAGTATTCTGAAGTAATTCTCACCCTGAATGGTTTTAGTACCAAGTAGCTCTGTAACTAGATAGGGAGATTAAAAAATTACAATGTCAAAAATGTGGTATTATGACAAGTGCATTTGCTTTACCTCAGGACAACATGGGAAAAGTCCTGTTTAATTTACAAATTGATTATCATCATATTTATTGTCTTCCTGAATATAGGATAAATAAAAGGGAATTATGTTGGTTCTTATGTTTTCCCCTTTTCAGGTAAAGCATCTAAAAGTAGTAACAAAACCATACGAAAAGGGTTATTATTCAATAATAAAAAAATAAACATTTGAATTCTGACTCCTAAGTTAATTCCCTTAATAAAATTTAGAAGCCCATAGAGAGATGCCTTGTTTATAATATATTAATAAAGAGTAGTACAAACTAGGTGATTTAATTTATATTAATACTAACTATAGGCTTGTCAGTGCATAATATGAGAACAAACAATAAACCCTAGTCCTTCTTCCCCATCTCATGGTATCTGAGGACTAGTAAAAGATAAAAATACTCATCTAAAGGAAATCTACCCCAGATTTCCTGGTTCTCAATTTAAAAATACTAATTAGTATCCCAGACTTGTTTCTCAATGTAAAGGAATACCAACCAGATCTCAAAAAATTGTTTCTCCTTGTACAATTTTCCAAATATTATGGTTCCAATGTGCATCCTTGAGCTATGTAAAGAGCTATTTTGTTTTCTGGAGAAGCCACCTGTGGTAGAGCAAGTGCTCTACAATGCTGTGGGCCCCAGTACTTCTGTCCTTGTACCAACCTGAGGCAGTCATTTGTGCTAAGAAGAGCAGATATACAGAGGTGGCATCCAACTGCAGGTGTCCCCACTGGTCATCACCCACTACAGTGGCACAGGTTTTAGTGTTGTACTTGGCATGGAGGCTATCCTTGGTACTCTGACTGTATTTGAAGGATTCTACTTTATCCACCTGAAGAAAACAAAAACAGTTAAAGACGGCTATGCAGAAAAAGCAATCCATATACAATACTTCTATAGTACTCTAACTGAAAGACTTAGTTACTGAAACTTAGATTTCATTATGTGTGCATCTGATATATGATATTGGGTTGGCTAAAAGTTCGTTTGTTTTTTTCTGTAAGATGGCCCTAGTAGTGCTTCAAACAATTTTGTTAAATTGTATTGTGATGGCTGTCATATTAGCATTCATTTTCAAAAACTTATTAAAATTGGTCAAGTTTTATGTAGCCATTTTAATGTTGAAGATGGAAGAAAATATACAACATTTTTGACATATTATGCTTTATTATTTCAAGAAAGATAAAAATGCAGCTGAAATGCAAAAACATTAGTGCAGTGTATGGAGAAGGTGCTGTAACTGATTGAACATGTCAAAAGTGGTTTGCAAAGGTTCATGCTGGAGATTTCTTGCTAGATGATGCTCCATGGTCAAGTAGACCAGTTGAAGTTGATAGCGATTGAATTGAGACATTAATTGAAAACAATTAACATTATACCATGTGGGAGATAGTCGACATACACAAAATATCCAAATCAATAAAGTTATTGGTGTAAATGTAAAAAATGTGTCTTTTTACTTTATGGAAAAAACTAAACAAACTTTTTGGCCAACCCAATATTATACCTTTAAATATGTTCATTAAATTAGTGAATTTAAACCTATTTGATAAGGTAGAAAATTCAAATATCTCAAATACCAAAGAAAGTAGCAAATCAGGACAAAAATAAGAAATGATGGCTGTGAGATAGTCCAATAGAGAGAGCACTAGTAAAAAAGGTTAAACTAGGCCGAGTTGGTTTCTTCTTATTTTAGACTTGTTGAATGCCTGTGAATGGTTATTTTATTAGTCCAGGCCTCAATTTCTCCTTCTAATAAAATGTAATACTGGTTTCAAGAAAATCAGTTCAGATTGAAGGTGTGCAACTTTGTGTAAATCTCCTAGGATAAAGGGAAAACACTTTTTTAAAATGAAACACTTTTGAATATAAAAAATATCATAAATAACCTAAAAGATAAAGCACAGACTACTAAAAGTTATTTGAGGTTTGAAACAAAGCATTGATAACCATAATGTTCTGGAACTCCTCAAATAGGCAAGAAAGAGACACTCAAAAGAAAAATAGTCAAAAGACCTAACAGACAATGTAACCGGGAGAAAAATGCAAAGTTTTTAATCTACACATGAAAGGATGCTCAACTTAATTCAAGATCAGGAGAATGCAAATTAATGCAAGGAGATGTAAGTCCTTGGCTCCTCATCTCCAATCACAGAATCTGAAACACTCCTAAAGGGTTTTTTCCCCTAAGTTTTGCATCAAAATTCATTTTGATATAGGGCTATTTGTAGTTTCTATTTATTTTATTAGTGTGAAAATGCATGTTTCCCTACAGAGAGATTAATGTTTTTGATAATAGAGTGCTATTCTGGACCTGCTGAGGACATACCATACTATATGGTATACATGCTGTAATGCCTTTTAAAATCTGAAAAATTCTTATTTTTAAAATTTACCAGGTCCCAAGGGTTTCAGATGAGGGCTTATAGAAGAATTGTATCATCATTTACTCAATATAGAGTAACTACATGTACAGCAATGATGAAGTATATTAAAAAATCATTTGTAGAGAAGTAAAGAAAAGACTAGAAGGAAACATTCCAGTAGTAATTGGGTGGTAAAATCATGGGTGACATTTCCCCCTTCAATTCTACAGCTTTTCTAAAATTAGTGAAATTGAAAAAATATGTATATATATGATATAAACACTGCCTAAGGGGTGAAGATAGTACTACAATGTGCTTTTATTACAGAGGGGGCTGTTAACAATACCTGTCTGATCATGCAGTGCAGCAGTCCCCTCATCAGTTTCACTACACTCTGCAGAAATAAATGGAAACAAGAGTGTTATAAACATCCCTAGGTGCAGGAACACTTACTCAGCAACCGCTGTTGGTACATGACCTTTTGAGGACAAGTAACCCTATCCTGGGTTCCTATTTACATGGCATTTACTTTATAAGTACACAGAAGAGCAGATTGCAGCTAAAAGTGGAATCAAAAGCTGCAGCTGGTGACTCCTCCAAGTTAAAAAGTCTAAATTCTAACACGTTTATGTAAAACTAAGCCAATCAACTTATTAGAGGACATTTCACCTGGAGAAAATGTGTGAGTCAACTCAAAAATCATAAAGCCATGAGGATATTCTAAAATATATCCCATGGCTTAGAAAAGCCAACATCATCACGTTCACTTTTTTCTAAACTAGCCAAGACTTATCTTCAAGAGTCCACAGAAATATTTATCTGGACGTTTCCCCTAAAGAATAAAATGATCATCAATTCAGAAAAATTATAAAGAGCAATTGTTAGTACAACTCAATTCCTTTTCCATGCAAAGAAAAAAAGAACAACTTCTTAAGTCATTATTTCCCTTACTAGGACCTGGCAATTTCTAAAGTAATTTTCTAATCATAGTACCTCAAAATTTTGATTACCAACTATATAGTATACTAGTTGGTATAATATAATACAGTCATAATAATTGTATTTAATTATAATATAGTGTAGTAATACAATACTATGATACTACATGATCCTATCTTATCCTATCCTATATTAGTTATACTAAATGACACTAGAAGGGCCCATAAACAATGGCATGGATAAGCAGTATGTTTTGAAAGAACATCACCAAATAGCTTCTCCATTTCTCTAAGTTTTCTGTTTCACAGTCCAGAAGAAATACAACCAGGTTACTCCAGGGAATGCTGGCTCAGAGGTAGCTTCAGGACACCTCTGCAAAATAATCTACTTTAAGAGACACATTGTTCTGATAGTCTTTCAAAACATTCTAGTGATAGGCATGATAAGAATAAGTACCTATTAATTATGCTCCAAATCTTTATGAAGGATTTTATTGAAGGAAAAATAAAAAGTGTTTCCTTGGGAGAGTAGCTTTGTAAAGTAATTTCTATCTATAAATGGTCTCCTCCCCTTACAGATGAAGGAGAGAGAGAGAGAACATGATCTTGTCACCTTTTAAATCATGAAGCATTTGCTATAAAGTAGTGAAACTGACTGCAACTCCAATACGAAAATATCTATCATTACTCTGACCCTAATAAAAGACATTGTCCTTTAATATACCCTGTTACAGAAAGCATTAAACACAGCCCTCTCACTCTGTGGGGAGACTTTATTCAATTCTGAATTATCTACTACATGTTACCACATACACACAGGTTTCTATTACATCCTTTCAACCCTCTTTATCATCCAGCCCTGCTATTCCCACCTACATTTAATTTAAACAGAAAACCTAGGGAATCATGGACCTAGGGGAGGATTCCTGATTGCCATCCATTTTCATCCTCCTGAAACGGCTGTTGTCAGCCATTTCTGTCCTCAAGTTGCAACTTCCAAGTCAAGATAGGATAAAATTAGTAGGAAGCATGGGGAGGTAGAAATAAGGGGAGGTATCTGGATTTTGTATTCCCCTAAGCTGGACATACTCTGATTCAGGTGCTAGGCGGCATTAATTATACATGTATTCATATCCCAGGGCTTATAAGCACACCAAGTGACACCCTCCTCTCACCTATTCATTTTGAGGATATAGATCTATGTACTTGTGAATTGATTGTGTGAGGGTATATAACTATGTACAGCCATGTCTATATAAGTATTAGTATCTCTCCCTCCAGGTTTATGTACAATCAGATACTTTTTGAGTGTCTAAAATATTCAAAATAATCTACCAGGTTTTGTGAAACATAATGATAAAGGAGACAGGACAAACCTGTTATTTTAAAAAATACTACACTACAACCATGTCTACCTAACAATTCTTAGTTATCCTTTAAAACCCAACTCCTCTGAATCTTTCCTTGCCTTGTTCAAGGAAATTGGACACTCCCACCTCTGTGTGTTCCCACAGAACTTTGTACTTATATCCTCTATATATAGTATGTATAGTATCCGTCCTAGTGTTTTGCAACTATTTGTTTATATATCTGTCTCCTCCATCAAACTATGAACTCCTCAAGAAAAGGGAAAGGGACCATATTCAGAAATACACCTTAATCCCTGGCTGGGGTGGCTCAGTAGATTGAGTGCCAGACTGTAAACCAAAGAGTCCCCAGTTCAGTTCCCAGTCAGGGCACATGCTTGGGTTGCTGGCTAGGCCCCCAGTAGCGGGCACATGAGAGGCAACCACACACTGATGTTCCTCTCCTTCTCTTTCTCCCTCCCTTCCCCTCTCTAAAAATAAATACATAAAATCTTAAAAAAAAAGAAATATACCTTTAAGTCAATGGACTAAGCAGGTTGTATTTTGAATACATATATATTCCATGCCTGCAAGTAACTCTCAAATTGTTTGTCAAATAAATTGTGTGCATGCATGTGTTTAAAGAGAAGGAAGGTACAAATATGACAAAATGTTAACAACTAGTGAATGTAGATAAAGAGTATTTGCTAATATGTTCATTTTACTTTTTCAACAACTTTGCTGTAAATAAAGTGGAACCTAATCAATAAAACAAACATGCAAGCAAAATACAACCAGAGACATTGAAATAAAAAAACAAACTAAAGTTACGGGGCGGGGGATAATGGGGAAGGGCAATCAAGGAACATTTATAAAGGACTCATGGACAAAGCCAAAGCAGGTAGGTTCAAGGGTGGGAGGCAGGGATGGGTGGGGCAGGGGAGCATGGTAGAGTGAAAATGGAGACAACTGTACTTGAACAACAATTAAGAAACAGATAATGGAGTAAAAAAATAAAATATAAATCCTAAAAATTTTCAAACATAAAAATTCAGAGTTAAATATAAACATTTTGTCCCATTTTATTTTTGATATCTATTATAGGACCTGACACATGGCAATTACATGAAGTCTGCTAAATGAAAAATGGAAAACAAGCACAGACCATAAGTAATTTAGACACTGCAAGAAGCTAGTCCTGAGAAAGAAGTGATCACTGAGTGGCTTATGAGGACAGGAGCCACAGAAAAAATGGGACTGATGCTGGGCTTTGAAAGGAGAGTACTGGCTCCGATTAGACGAGAACATGTCTCACAAATGGGAGAAGCAGCTCATAAAAACATTTGGAGGTGGGAGTATCCATGGAGGAAAAGTTTGAAAAAGACTGAATCTAAAGTCATTAGACCGAAGTTGTAGTCATACTGCCACCGAATTCCAGCCTGCTTCAATCCCTTTACTTGTAAATTATGGAAAATAATATCTAACTTACAGAGTGTTGTGAAAATCAAATACTAGTAATTACAGGGAAGTGTGTAGCACAATGAAAAGTACTTACACAAATGTAAGATATTTTTATTAAGGAATTGTTAGATTCATGAAAACTGATGTGGCTGGGACTGGGGGTCTAATGCAGGATACCAGCATGACATAATATTGTTTAGGAACAAATCCTTGCCTATCAATCCAAAATATTAAGATATTTCTTATTGGAAAATGAGAGCCACAGATAGAGAATGGAAATGATATAATTTAAGTATGGTTTTCACAACAGTGTTAAGTGATCAAGGTTTAGACTAGAGTTGAGGCGGAGTGGATGGATTCAAGAAAAAAAATTATAAGAATCAACCAACTTTGGTCTGCATGTATCCAAAGGCAAAAGGGACAAGTTAAAAATCACCCTAAAGGCAATATTTTCAAACACTGTTTTATAGAACACTAGTCCAGGAAATTCTGAAAAGATTGTAATATACTTGAGGACATCAAAGGCTATGAGAAATTATGGAGTAAAGAAACCTGCTGTTTAACATAGCCCTAAACTTAACTGACCTAGTATTCTATGGAACACACCATGGGAAATGCTGTACATGACGGTAGCCAGGTGAGCAGTATACTGAAGACACCAATAAGAGAAAATGGAATGTGTAGTGAGTTGTTGTTGTTTGGTAGTCCATTTTGTTTGTTTTTAACAGGAAAGCTGGCATTTCAGACATAATGAGTTTGAGAGGTTATAAGATATGCAGGGGTAACTGATTAGAAGACAAATGAAAATCAGCGTTTGACATTGAAGTGAGGTCAGAGTAAAGATGAAGCTTTGGAAGTCATTCTCATAAAGGTAACAGTTAAACTCATGACAAAAGATGAAAGACTACACAAAGAGAACAAAACTGAGGCAGAAGTAAAACTGAAGGCAGTCAAAGAGCACTCTCTATTTGTGTGACTATTTATTTTTATGGGTGTGAGCCAATGTCTATGTGACTAAGAGAAGAGGGCATTTGAAAAACATATATGTGCATAATTCTATTCTCAATCTAGGATAAGAGAGTTACCTAAACCTTTGTACCCTTTTCAACCAGAATTCTCTTTAGTTCTGACATTTCTCAAAGTGAAATCAAGGTAAGAGTTGAAGGAAGGGTAGAAACGATTAACAATCAATGGTTTGAGAAAATCCACAGAGTAATGGGAAAATCTGTTTTAAATTGACAGTAAATGGGAATTTATTCCATGGATTATTGGATTTAATCTATACTCATTTATTGTCCACAGATCAGTGGTATTATATCTGGCTGTACTTTAGAATAACCTGGGTAGTTTATTAAAAATATTCATGCCTCCTGGGCTCCACTTTAAGAAATTTATCTAAATTGTTCTAGGGTGGGCTTCAGTAAGGGTTTTGCTTAAAAAGATTACTAAGTGATTCCATAGTACAGCCAGAGGTCAGAACTACTCATGTAGATTAGGGACAAATACAGTTCACTACCTATTTTTGTAAATAATGCCTATTAGAACATAACCATGTTCATTCGCGTATGTATTGTCCCTGGCTGCTTTTATACATTAGTGGAAGACCTGAGCAGTTGGGCAGATACTACATGTGACCCACAATGCCAAAAATATTTACTGTCTAGCCCTTTGCAGAGATGGTTTTGTGATCACTGCTCTGAATTAACTCTTGAGTCAGGTTTGAGGAAAAAAATTAAAATTTTAGAATTGCCAGAGAAACGTTTCTTTTTTGAAGATGTTCCCTATAGCTATAATGTTCTTGAGACAAAGTTATTATTGAGGTGGTATGAAAAATACCAAATCAGTACAAGAACAATTTTAGGGGTTATGTAAAAAAATTATTTAATGGAGCATTACAATTTTAGAATGAACAATTCAATCTTTCCCTAAATTTTTCCCCTTACTCTGTTAAAGCAGAGCTTTCTACCTGAGGCTCATAATGAAAAATGTCAACTCTGCAGAATGATTGGTCAATAAGGAGACATTAGATTTCTTCTAATAGTATTGAAAAAATTGGTCAAATTGTACCAAGTATGGAATTGTGATCCCACTGATATTAACTGCTAGCAAAACAAATAAAACACTGAGATCAAAATAACAAAGCATTATAGTAAGTAGTATGTAGGATTTGGGTGGCGGCAGTAGGGAATAGTATTACAGGTGATTTTTTAACACTCCTCTAAATTTTCCAAGTTCATACAGTGGTTATGCATTATTTACATAAGTCATAAAAATATTGATCTCTACTTTCTGGGCTAAAGTAAAAACTCTGATAACCTTTTTTTGTGATGGGCCTAAGCACTTCTCAATAATGACTTGAAAGAACACCAAATGCCTGCTATTGCAGAAGACAACACAATGAAACTTCCCTATTGCCAAGGACTGCAACCCATAACATGGTGGTGCCCTTAAAAATAACCAATTTCAATATTCTGATTTATAGATGAATACTGAAGCTAGGATTGCCTGAGTCTGAGGGACACCACTTGAAAAAGTGGCTGGTATGGAGAGAACCTTAACCACCATGGAAAAGAATTCACATATACCTTACAACGACAGCAGAGTATCTCACCATTAAGAGTCCCATTAGCCCCGAATAATGTTTCTTGGTTATTCAAAAGGACAAAGCACCCTGTATTTAAACAGTTTTAGAGAGGATGCTTCTTTACAGAGGGGAAGGGCCTTAAAAGTAGGCTTAAAGGCCTCTGTTGACTCCGACCTTACTTTACTGTGGAAGAGGGAGGAGGAATAGGCTGAGAGTGGCCGCAGGTATAAAAATCAACAAATAAACAGTCTTTACTTGTGTCTTAACTGGGAAGGTCTGCCAATTTGTGTCAGTTACTGTGAAACGAATACTACTATCATTTTCAAAAATGAAGTAAAATTATATATACCTGCCACCAAACATTCTTCTCAATGAGAATAAATATGCTGGATACTGCAAAATACATGTACTTATGAAGAGGACTACACATTTTAGCAAAGATTCCAGGATAGTATTTTCCACTATAACAGAACAGACTGTACGTACTTTCCCAGAATCAGCAAGTCTCAAGTTTCTACTACAAAAAAAAAAATCAGTACAATACAGGAATGATTTTTTGAATAATTTTAGGAAGGTGGAAAAGAAGGCAAAATGCAGTTCTCTTAACTCGTATGGGCTAGGCTACGTTTCCTTCACTCTCCCCCCACAAACCCACCCCAACACACCACCACACAGCTCCAGATGTGTTTCTATTCTTATTGTGAGTACCTGCTCCAGTTCATAGGCCTTTGCCTTATCCTCATCTCGGTCTGCGTTCTTCCGATAGGCCAGGCCCAAACCCCACACAGCCAAGATGCTGTACACGTTATCCCGGACCCAGGCATCTTTCTGATCATAGCTGGCTGGAAGCAAGCCAGTCACTGGATTCTGCAAGGCCAAGAAAAAGAGGGCAGGCAGGTAACCACAGGATGTTAATATTAGGAAGCACTCTTTCAAATGGGATACTTAGGGACTTTGGTCTTATTTCTACTTCCCCAGCCTGGAGTATTAACCCCTCTTCCTCTGACCAAGTGCAAGCAAATGTTATCTTTTTTTTTTAAGATTTTATTTATTTATTTTTAGAGAGGGAAGGGCGGGAGAAAGAGAGAGAGAGAAACATCAATGTGCGGTTGCTGGGGGCTGTTGCCTACAACCCAGGCATGTGCCCTGACTGGGAATCGAACGTGCGACATTTTGGTTCGCAGCCCGCACTCAATCCACTGAGCTACGCCAGCCAGGGCTTTTTTTTTTTTTAAAGATTTTATTTATTAAAAAGCAAATGTTATCTTGAATAAGAGGAAAGAGCTGTCTGAAGACTTAGAACTCTGACGTGTGGGTATTATGAAAAGAAAGGCAGTGTTTTATCTTTCCCATTAGAATGAGCTACCAATGATAAACCAACATTAAATAAGTATTTAAAATATAATTAACAGTATATACAAGGTACCTCAGATTTTCACAATAGTCTAGTCCTGAGATAGCTAAACGTTCCCTTGCTTTCTCTGATAGGAGGGGAAGGAGATGATGCCCAAACCTGGGGAGGGTTGTCAATAAACTTCAACACTTCTTTTCAACTCTGTCGCCTGGAACCCAGTTGTGGCTTGCAGGCAGGGGGCTCAGAAGCCATGACTCAGGGCCTGTGGCTAAGGGTGCCTGACCTAGGGGACATGAGAACCTGCTACACACACACACAGGTTCACTCAGAGTCTCCTTCACACTGCACACATCCTCGTTGATTACAGGCGACACTTAATTTACCTGATGGCACAGGATGGTCTGATGCACCAGCCTAGCGTAGCCATCCAGCCGGACCCCCGAGTTACTCCGGCTCCTCATCGTGCCACGACTCCAATACCCTCAGAGAAACAGCCCGGGTGCCGCAGGGGCTTTCGGTCCTCCAAGGAAGGTGACTCCCACGCAGTTGCACCCTCGCTGTGGGAAGCCCGAGTGCCAGGCCCCGGCAGGGCACTGCCAATGCTCAGGCCTCGGGCCAGCTGTCTCGGCCACGGCGGCCCCTGGAGCCCACCACAGGCTCGTGCGCCCAGCCTCCCGAGGGCGGTTTCTCCCAGCTTTACACCCGTCCGTCCGGCCTTCACGTGTAGCTCAAGCAGCCTTCGCTCAACTCCCGGAGACAACGCGGCCCACAGCCTCACCCCGCGGCCCTCAGACAGCTGGTCATCCGCCACGGCACCGCCTCCACCTAGCTAGAGGAGCCACAAGCAGGAGGCGGGGCGGGCGCCTGGGGTCCTGGCAGCTGCGCGCAGTTCCCCTGGGACTCGCGGCCCGCCCCGCCCCGCCCGCGCTGGTCCTCTGCGCCCCCTCCCACCCTGAGGCGGAGAATGTGTCACCGTAGGCAATGTGCTTTCAGAGGTTTATTTTTGACGCCTCGAATGAGTATTTCAGTTTTCCACACTCGCTGTGCAGTCAGGATGATGATGAGGCTGTTTCTTTTGGTTTCTTCTGCTGAAGTAGTTTTAGAAACCCCACGACTTCAAACCTAAAAAGAAAGGTGCACGTTTGCGTTCAAGGCCTAAAGAATTGGAATTTCCAGATTAGTAATTAACGGGTCTTTACTGTATTTTATACTTTGGACTAAAGGCACAGATTAAACACCTCTCTCCGACCCAAACCAAACGCGAAAGAACTCCTTCAGGTACTTGATTTCCGCAGAAACTGTTGAATCGGCGGCCTTGGAAAGGCGGGCACAGTGGTGCGCTTTGAGGAAGCTGGTGACCCTGCAGGAACCTGGGCTGGGGTGGCGTGGAGAGTGGTGCCTCTGGACAGCCTTGGTGGGCGAGGAGCTGAAAGGTTTTATAAGTGCTCAGGAAGGCTCCCTCGTGCTCATGGAAGTCACAAGGCCAAGGCAAGAAAGACGCAGCTGAAAATGAAGGGTGGAAAGGGAAGTTAGAAAAGAAACCTGCAGGTAGTACTGATCACTGCGCACCGCGCCGAGTGTCACGACCCCCGGGCTTTTGCTCCCTGCTTTTACCACCCCAACCCCCACGTCTTGATCTCCGCTCATCCAGAAACCCTGCAGGTCTTTCCAGGCTCCGTTTAAATACCGCTTGCTCTCTGAGTCGCAAGGTTAAGAGAATTAGACTTTTCAAGTCCCAACTCCAATAATTTGTGATTCTACGCCTTCCCTAGCCACCTCATTCAGGCCACAGTGATTTTGCATTTTTGTTTACCATTTTATTTCTCTAAATTTAGTCTTTTCTAAGCTTACTCCATTTCAACTACCACCCTCGCCTGCTCCCAAATTAGCATAAAGTTAGCCACCACGGAGGAGCAAATATTTGCTAATGTTGATGGTGAGAAAGGAGGGAATGCTCAGTAATACAGTTAGACACGGTGATACACGTAGGATTCTCAAACAAATACTTTCCATTTCAGTTATTAGCTACGCAAATGCTGTGGCTGGCACATAACTAGCCACTTCAAGGCCCTGGTGCACAGTGGGAGAAAAAGTCCTTCCATGACACACTCGCTCATTTTGAAGGAAAGAACAGTTTCCCAACCTTGTTCTGCTCCTAAGTCCCTGACATTTCCCCCTCAGCCTGTAAACTCAAAAGTCCTTTCTCTATCCTTGAAAACTTCAAGCTACTGCCCTCTCCTTTTCTTTACCTCACTATAATTTTGAAATGTTTTTAAAATATTGAAGTAATATATATGGTCACTAAAGAAAACTTGGAAAGTATAAAAAAGATCATAATTCCTTCACACACAAACCACCTGTTAATATTTTAGTTTATTTTTTCTAGTCCTTTTATTCCTCTGCACATACCACATTCCAAAGTTATTTAGAAATACAAGTACATTAGGAATGCCAAAAGTAGGGTGTCACAAAGAAAGGTAACTAACTGGCTATCAAGAGCCCTTTCTAGATGGCTTACCTTGGTGTTCTCAACTTCAGTCATGCAGTCTCAGAAACTTGATCTCCTTAGGGTCCCAGAACTGGTCATACTCAGGAGATTGACTTATGCCAGTTACCACATAAGAGACTGATATGTGAAAACCAGGATGCTGGCTGATAATGAGAAATAGAACTGTGACAAATTATGTTAGCCTAACCACCACGTTCCTCACTTTAATAATATATAAGCCTCACTCTTTTCCAAGTGCTATTTTATTTTATATAATAACCCTATGAAGTAAATACAACACTATCATTAACCCCATTTTAGAGATGAAGGCACATGAGGATTAAGTAACTAAATAAATCTGCTTTGTCTATATTAGCTTCACTGACTCTCCCTTTTCTGCATGTCCATAGATCACTGGCACATTCTTTCTTTAGATGTGTCAAAATTGTCAACCAAGTTATATTCAAGTCTTACCTGTCTAGAGGCCATTATGTTTCTTGAGGGTGATATTTCCATGTGATTCATTGTACATTATTTTATAGGTTAACTGGGATAAAATTTTATTTCAAAGTTCCTGGGAATATTTTATTATTTCTCTTGGAAGTTTTAATTACTAATTTTCAAAAATCCAAAAATTGTAAACTTTACACTTTATATTTTCTATAGTTTTACATTTTATGTTAATGTCTACAATAACCTTTTTTCTAGATGTCTTACAGTTTGTTTAGCTATTCTCTTATTATTAATTAATACAGTAGTCCCATATTAACCATAGGGCATACATTCTAAGACCCCAGTGGATACGTGAAACCACAGGTAGTACCAAACCCTAATATGCTATGTTATTTTTATATACTATGATAAAGTTTAATTTATAAATCAGGCACAGTAAGAGGTTAACAACAATAATTACTAATAAAATAAAATAAATATAAAAACATAGTGGAATAAAATTTATGTGAATGGCCTTGGGGAATTATTAAATAAAATAAAGGTTACTTGAATACAAGCACTGTGATAGTGTGACAGTTGATCTGATAACAAAAATGGCTACTAAGAGACTAATGGGTGAGTAGCCTAAACAGCATGGATACACTGGACAAAGGGATGACTCAAGACTTGGGAGAGACCAAGGAGGACTACCTGAAATTTCATCACACTACTCAGAGTGGCAAATGATTTAAAATCTATGAATTGTTTACTTCTGAAATATTCCATTTAATATTTTTCAGACTGTGGTTTACCATGGGAAACTGAAACCCCAGAAAGGGAAACTGTGGATAAGGGGGTGGGAGAACTACTGTAATAAATATTCTATTATCAATTTTCTTGAACATATAGTTAATAAACTATTTCCTTTTCATTATTTCCCATTCACTCTAATTTTTAAAATATTACATAAGTAACATATGAAAACATTCTTCATGAAAAAGCTAAAATGATACCTATGTCTACCACCCACAGTCTCCTTTATCTCCTTTCCCAAAGGTAACCATTGTAATGGGATTAGTTTGTATCCTTCCAGATTTTTCCCTATGGATATATGTGTGTGTATGCAGAACTGCATATAAAATATTGTTTTCTGGGTATTATTCAAATATAAACAGTATTGTACTGCACCTACAATTTTGAAGATTGCCTTATTCACCCAAAAGTATGTCATGGAGATCTAGTCATGTTATTACATAGAGATCTACCTTATATGCCATGGTTTATGTTCCTCTATTGATGACTATTCAGTTTCTCTCCAGGTTAGAACTCTTGAAAACAGTACTTTAGTGAACATACATATATGTCTTGTGAATGCATACATGCATTTTGGAAATAGGAATTTAAAATTTCAATATAAGTATTTAAGTGATAAAGCCATTTAAATTATCTGCACCAGCCTGGCTGATTTGCTTCAGTGGATTGAGCGTTGGCCTTTGAACCCAGAAGATCACTGGGTCAATTCTTGCTCAGGGCACATGCCGGGGTTGTGGGCCAGGTCCCCAACTGGGGGCATGGGAGAGGCAACTGATCAATTATACTCTTCCTCTCTTTCTCCCTCCATTCCCCTCTCTCTAAAAATAAATAAATTGTAAAAAATTATCTGCATCAACCAGTACTTATAGAACACTTCATTTCATCTATCCTTACAAATATTTGATGTTATTGAATTTTAATTTTAAGCAAACTGATAGGTGCAAAATAATATATTACTTTGTTTCATTTACTTGAATACTGTCATTGAGCATCTTTATGTTTATTTTATTTAATTGATATTTTATTATATTATGGTTATTTTATTCTGGGTAAATATTTAGTTATTTCTCTATTGATCTTTTTAATTATTGATTTATAGGAATTTTAAAAAGTTACATATTCTAGATTTAAAATTTTTTTAAAATTGAGGAGTTTATTAGGGAAATATCAGAGACAGATACCTCAAGTGACAGGAAAAAAGCTCTGAAAACGTCCCTTCAAGCCAAGTGGGGGCCTGACCTTGACCTCCCTAGAAGGACAAAAAAATTTCTGGGTTAGCAACAAAATGCTCTGGCAGCCACCTTGCCAGGGCATGAGTGTCTCAACCAGGGCTGTCTGCTGCCCCCCAACAAAGGTGGAAAGGAGACATAGACTGTTCGTAGAATCAATGCAGAGGCAATGAGAGCTGTGAGGAAAGTTGTGGGGGGAGAGAAAGAGAAAGGGAGAGATGGGGAGGACCTTAACAAAGAGTCCCAAGCTTTTGGCTCTGAGCACTTCAAATACATTGACAAGTAGTTCTACAAAATGTTACTGAAAAGGTAAAATGCCTAATGTTTTCAAGAGTTCCCCTGGATTTCTCCCCACATGCCCTATCACACTGTCAGATGTCACATTTTTAAAGAAAGAAAAACAAGAATAAGAGAGGAAGGGGTTGAAGGCTGGTGGGAACCTTTCCCACGTAGGCTTGTGTTCTGTAAAGCAAGTTCCCAGCAGCAGATTGGCACAGTTCTAGGTGAAGATCTCACTTTTTGTCACCCATGCCTCAATGTACTAATTATATTCTCTGTTCAAGCACTGTTAATTTCTCATTTAGTGTTGCGAGTCTTGAATGACAAAACATATGAAACGACTTGAAGAAGTCCGTGGTTTTCTTCATGCTGCTGCTGCTGAACTCAGTTCATTCTGATTCACCCAGTCCTGGTGAATTTCCCACTGCACTGGATCCTCCTGTCCTGCGATGGCTGCCACCTAAGGAAGAGCCTGGATTTTAACTTTGAAAACGGAAATCTAAAAGGATATTGCACATTTTCCCATAAGTGATTTGTCTATTAACATTATTTATGGTGTCTTTTTCTCTTTTTTAATTGTAT